ATAATCAAGAGCACACACTCTGCATAAAATCTCTTAATTTTAATACTCTGAGCTTTAAATCTCTCTTAAATCTCACTTTGAATACAAATTTTCCTTTATTACTGCATCAGATGCTCACTCACAAGCTCACATCACACTCATCAGAATCACTCAATACACTGATCAGAAAACCTCTGAGAGAGGAAAATCTAGTTTCAAAAAAACATGTTAAGAATTGAGATATTCTCAGATTGCTGATTAATACTACTACAGTCTTTGAATTAGTATATATAGATATATCAGAGTCTCTCATTTCTTTTCTTGTTAAAGTACAGAACTTAGACTTCTTTGCAATAGTAAAGAAGTAGAAGATAAGAGATAAAGATATAATCTTGAGTAGTGATATATTCTAAATCATCTCAAAAGACAGTCTACTTCAGGCAAATAATAGAGTCTATATTTCACTGCAACAAGCACTGATCAAAGAGATAATTTATATCAATCATGATAACTCACAAGAAAGTCATTTTAGTATAAAATAGTCTATTGAGTGTGTTCAAAGTAAGTACTATTAGCATGATCTTACCCAGAATATTACTAAACATATTTATACTTGTGATACTTATCAGAGAGTGAAAGTGCACTGTTACAAACAGTATGATGAACTTAACTCAATTTCAACATCAATCAATTTATAGCAAATTATCACTATGAACTTCATTATTGACCTCCCAGTTATCACCTGGCTAAACAAGATTTATGATATAATCCTTGTCTTAATTAATGCCTTAATCAAATATGTTCTATATATTTCATATATAAAAGATATTACTACAGAAAATCTTACAAATATTATCTATATTCATGCTTATAGCATCTTTAGTGTCTCTGAAAATTATATTTCAGATAGAAGAGCTCTTTTCACAAGTTGATATTGATCAACTCTCTGCTATCTATTTGAGATCAAATAAAAACTATTCACAGCCTTTCATTCATAAATAGATAATTAAACTGAATATCATAATCAAATATTGAAGTATTATCTTCAATGCTTTATGAATTTCTATCAGAATGACTAGGGTAGATAACTGTCTTTAGTGCAGTTCATCTATAATAATTCATAATATAGTTTAATCAATGAAGTTTCAACTTATACACTTCTTGACTACAGACCTGCTCTTTAGATTAATGTCAGTAATTCACTTTATTCAAGCTCAATTGAGATAATCAATCAGGCTAAAGAAATACAAGCAATATGAGAAAAGATTCAAAAATAGCTGAAGAAGATCAAGACTATGCAAAAGACATACTATGACTTCAAACACAGTACAAAGTGCTTTCATATGAGGGACTGAATACTTCTCAATGTAAAGAATTTCTACATGCTTTATCTTACTAGAAAATTGAATTATAAATTTATTAACTCTTTTTAAATCATTGAATCTTGAAATATATAGATATACAAACTCTCTCTTTCATACTCAATGTGCAATATTCACTCTGTTTTTCATATTTCATTGTTTGAATCTTATAAAATTAGATATGATACTACTCCACCTCTAGTATCATAGCTAGTGAATAATAAGGAAGAATTTCAAGTTGAGAAAATATTAAAGAAAGAGAAATACTAGAGTAAAAAATGATACTATATACATTGAAAGAGCTATAAATCTTCAAATAATATATGAGAATCTCTTGAAAATATTCAAGAGACTGAGGTATTTGATATTTTTAAACAATAGGAATTACAGCAACAAGCATGCTAAACTCACTCTGAAAAGTATACTAAGTACTAATTCTTTCTCATATATACATTCTTTCTACTACTTTTTTTCAAATGAGTTTTTTTTTTTTGTAATTTTAATAAGGCAAGTAAGGTATTAAAAATTATCAAGTCTTTAGAAAAAATTCATTTCACTATTGTCTGAACAAGTCAAAGACCCAGATACACATCTCTAATTCCTTCTAACTTAATTTCTATTCATAATTATTACAGTTATCATATACTGTTCAAGAACAGTAATTCTTCTCTTTAAGCTCAATACTCTTTTTCTCAATCAACTCAGAGTTCTCTATCTCATACAACTTTTTTCTTCATATTCTCTCACTTCTCATTCTCAGAGAACACTCCTAATACATCTGTAGTCTTAATTCAGTGCTGAGTATGATAGACAACATTAATCAAGACAGTAGCATAAGCTTTCACTGAATGAACAGCATGAGAGATAACTATCAACACTGCTATCAGATGCAGCAGCTTGACTCAATAATGTAAGATCTTCACTGATCTCACTCACTCTGCAAAAAACAGAAAGTCTCAAAGAGCAAGCAACTGACTTAACTTAGAAGAGAAAGCAAGTTAGATAAATAATTATTAGTTATCACAATGAGCAAAGAAGCTAAAGATGTACTATACTCACTCAGATACATAGATTATATATAAAATGACAAGAATTACAGTGTTTTCCACAGCAGGAATAATCATACATCACGGACAAACTACTCAGCTTGAGCAAACATTACTTATAGAGAATATCTCTAAGACAAAGTCAGTCACATAATCAAACAATTATAAGCTATCATTTAGTAGATCTATCAAACTATCATCATATATGTGATGTTGTCAAATGCACTAAAAAACAAAAAAGCTTACTTAAAAAATATAAGAATTGATTTTATTATATTGACAAAAGCAAGAAAGAAATGAGAAAAGCTTTATGATCAGAGACAGCAGTAACTGGAAGGAGTTTATAATGATTCTAATTGTGAGATTGTAAAAGAAAAAAAGTTTAAAAGTAAAAGATACTTTCTCTCTTCATTCTTATAGCAATAAATACTTTGATGGCAATTATCTCACATAATCAGTCCCTCAATATCACTAAATAAGCATTATAAGTATTATCTTTATATCAACAAATACTTCATACTCACACCTCTATATTCAAAATCAACTATCTTTCAGAGCTGCTGAGATTAGCATCTATGAAAGAGGGGACAACTGTGATGCTAAAGCTCTCTATACTAGCTTTTTATCCTTACACTGCTTACTATACTGCTTATCAAAGCACTTTAGAATCAGATACTCTTGGTTCTCATATTCACTTATTAAAACATTTATCTTCATATTGCTTATCAAAGCACTTTAAAATCAGCACCTTTTACAGAATCAGCATCATTTTAAAATTCAGCATTCAGAATTAACATAGATTAGCACTTCTCAAAAATCAGTTCTTTAGCATTAGTACTTCCTAAAAGATAGAATCAGCTCTTCATAAAAATTCAGATTATTATATTATTAATTCTTCATTTTATGAAAAATTAGAGATAAAATCTATTACTACTTATTCATATATATAAACACTTTGAATCTTCAAAGTTCTTTTAAAAGATTCAATAATTAGCTACTATTCAATTTTACATATATATTTTATTTATCATTATTCTCTTCTTTTCATAGCACTCACAGTGCTTATATACCTACTCTTTTATAATCTTAGTTATAAAGCTTCTCATGCTTCCTTCATTTGAATAAGATATTTAAAGTAAGTCTAATTTATGTAGAACTTAATAAATAAAAATGATTGAATTAAAGAACTTTCTCAACATAAGTAAATATTGTAGAGTTAAAACAACTTATTATCAGATTCAAGTAGAGAAATTCCTCACTATTAAAGATGTCAATAGAAAAATCAAGCAGTATAAGAATAATAAAGCTGAAAAAAAGCAGAATAAAAAACAATAAAAACTTGAAGTTGATCTCATGAAAATTGACAATAACTTACTCACATCACTAACAGAAAAGGAATTAAATCAATTTAGAGATAACACACATACTGAGAATGATGTAGATAATCTTTTTATTATAGATTAGCTACTGATTGTTGATATAGAGTGTAATAATGAGGATGTGATTCAAGATTTTTATCATTTTGGTGTTTTAATCATTTTGATGTGGTGCACCTACATAAGGTGTGTGAAATTATATATTAATCGTGCCACTGTACAACCCTGCCGGATTGGGTTAGTCTTGAAAAATTTTCAAATCCCTAGATAGATATTTCAATCGTTACTATATCTGTGCAAACCTAAAGAATTTCCATATATTGACACATTCTGCATGTATGCATGTGCCAGAAGGGGACATGGCAGAATGGCGTTGCCACTGTCCCGACTCCTGGGTGTCGGAGCAGATGGGCTGCTGGATGATTAACTATCTAGGTAGTTAACTACCAGCGGTGTATCCAGAGAAACTTTGTTTCTTGATGCTGTTATTTAGCCTAGTCGTTCTACTCAGACACTCAGGGATGTTACTTAGCCCCACGAATGCCAACAGAATGATTCCATGACCCTATAATTCTCACACTACGATTCATATGAGCTATTTCAAAATCCAAGGCGAATATACCTTCTTCATCCGGTTTCACAAGGAAAGTTTTGCTTAATTTATTGATACTCGTAAACATCTCAAGCTAAAAGCTAGAGAAAATAAGGGCAATTGACCCATAAATTTCGTCTCGTCATAACATAACACAGCCATTCGTGGACCGGACTTCGTAACGTCATAAAAACATCCATCATCATCTCATAATAGCAGACATGGTAGTATGTAGTGCTAGAGATGCTTCCATAAGTTGAAACAGAAAACGTCAAAACATTCTTCAAACATTCTGGTGGCAATTGGCAAAGACAAAAGATGCAACGCTAGACAGTGTGGGCCAGGAAAGAATAACGAGCATGGATATCGTTCCTGAGCATACATTGAGTAAAAGACTTACTTTCTCATCAAAGTTAACAGATAAAAGAATTGGCGGATATCTTTACCCTTGATGCGGAATATTTCAATACAACACTTTTGTTATCTTACTGTGAGTCGTTATCCATTGGCCGTAACTGCATGTGACTGGCGATCCGATACGAGCACAGGCCCTTGTTGGAAATTTGTAGACAAAGTTCATCAAATTAACCTTCCACCGAGAGCTGATTGTAGAGACCAAGACAAAGTCAACAACCTCTTTAGGCCATTAAGTAGAGGACTTTGGGGTAGCAATCATAAATTCCCTACGGCAACCTAGAGGAGAACTAGATCCTGCACGGTAATTCTCCTTTCGGGGGCTGGAATTTTCAGATTTTGTCACACCAGGCGGAATGGGCATGACAGTCCTGGAAGAGCCAGTGGAGAGGCTGTCTCCATAAGAGCCTTGAGTATTGAGAGATGGGCGACTGCGGTAGCTTGGGGTGTTCTCCATATTTACGTTGCTGCGTGCCGCCCAGGAGTTAAGACGAAGACCATTGACAGACTTGTTTATCATCGGGCCACTATCACGTTTGTCAGCTCTGTTAACTGGGAGGAATGGATGGGAAGGTAAACTTACGGTGGAGAAATGGAGGTTGCCGGAGTCCAGACAGGACCAACTCCCAACGGAGAAGGGAAGCTTGCCTGCGAGTTTGGGCTGAAATGAGAGGCTGCCTGCTGTAGACGTTGAAGGGTTGGTGACGGGGTAGAGCCATTAACCATCTCGACAGAATAATTGTATTCGCCAGCACGATATGCACGACGTTCGTTACTCTGCATCTTAAGATGTTTCTGTGCTTTAGTGTCTGCGAATCGGAGGAGAAGCTTGACTCCATCCTTGGCGGTAACATTGTGGAACTGAGATAATACTTTCTCCGCAACTTCGCGGGACTCAAATCTAGAGAGGATAGCATTGGTTAGCACGCGCTCATGCGAGGTCAAATAAATATAGGATAACAAGGGATAACACACCTGGCAAATCCAACCTCCTTACTGACACCAGTTTTCTCATCGCGGCTAATCTTCTCGGAGACAACTTGATATGGTTGAAAATGGCGACGAAGATCCTTTCATCCAATATCAACAAAAACACCATAAAGCATTGTGACAGCAGAAACACTAGGGTGAACGAACCGCTTCCACCCAGTCGATGGGTACATTAGTGCAATAGACGTTAGTAGAACACTTATCCTCAAGATCCTTAAGTCGAGAATTACGAGATTTCTATATGCTGTTAGTTGTTATGAACTAAAGCATATACGCATTTTCAGAAATCCAACATACTTGGGCAAAGCTGGCCTGATAGCCTAGATGAAAGAAGCCTCGAATACAGTTTTCACAGGCATCAAAGCTGAAAAACTGAACAAATCCGAATCTATATAGGGAATTAGTAATTTGACCCAAGACCGGAAATAGATGGGGAGGAAGCACAAACCCTTTGCAGAGGCCTGTTTCAAGGTCAACGATTGCCTTGCAACGGTCAATTTTGCCAAACCGAGATGCGTAAGCATGCAACATTTCATCGGTTGTTTCAGGAAGGAAACCACGGATATAGACATTGGTAATCCCCTCTCTATTCTCCAGGCACTTTGCGAGAGTCAGGTCTGAGGGGTTGGTCCACATGGCAGGCACTGCACGAGGAATTGGAGGATCCTGTTGAGTCAAGGCATCAAGATCCTGCAACACATAGCCGTTGGCGCCCTTCATCATCTGAAAGGGTAAGTAGGGCTGCGGCACCACTGACGGGGATGGTGTGCTGTAATTGTACAGCATTGGGGAACGATCCATTGGTGCAACTGCAGGATAACATTCTTGCTGCCCAGGCTGGTCAACTCCAGGAGTACAAGGGTGGTTTTCCTCGACAGAGGACCATGAATCACGACGAGGACCGGAGAGATCAGCAGCCTCCCCATTCATAGCATAAGGCCAGGTGTAGCCTGGGACAGAACCAGGAACCACTGAAGGGCCAGTCACGAAGTTCGGGTATATTCCGGTAGGCAAATATGGGACTGAAGTACCTTGGTCAGCAGCTTGATTACGGGGATGTCCATACTGATTTGCAGTAGATATACCTCCTAACATACTTCCATTAGGCACTATTAGGTATTGCCCATTGTAATGAGGGCGCTGCATGGCAGCAATATCATTGTTAGCACCATGTGGAACAGGGATATTTCCTTTGAAACCACCAAACTTGCCACCAGGACGATGGTTTTGCAAGTTCATGTTGCCAACGGCATGGGTGATCGTCTGCATGTTGGAATCTCTCATATTTCCATTGACCACAGTAGGCTGAGAAACCTGCTGGTAGTAACGGTTCTGGTGTTCTTGGTTATAGACTCCGTGGTTCTGTCCGTGAACAGGGCCAGTTTCACCAGCCGTATGCTTCTGCAAGGTTTGGGCTTGCATATTAGCAGAAGGTTGATTCTACAGCGGTGGACAAAGTCGTTAGCAATGTAGCTGAAAAATTAACTAGACAAATGAAGCACGGAACTGGAAGATTTTGGAGACTTTAGCTCTATGAGATAAAGGGAGAGACAAGCATTAAAAGGGTCCATATCAAACCAATAGCTTCAGAAGAGGAGGCAGCATTGAATGGCAAATTCACAATATACACACATATACACAGATAAGGTAAGGGTTAAGAAGGAATGTTTCAACAATAGAAAGTGCAAGGAGGGAGACAGATATTGGCACCTACCCGGTTAATTGGGTTAGAAGACAGCCCGTTGAGTTGAGACTTTGCAGTGAGAATACCGAGCTTCTCGAAGATATCCATGTTAGTATACACAAAGGAGAAAAGAACAAGCAAATACGTGTCAAATGAGACCAGATAAGTAGAATACTGCACCTAAACAAGCCCTTTGGATATGGAAGAGAAACCCAGGAAAGGCCGTGGATGCAGAGCGTACGGAGGATACAGAAGATACGAACGAAAAAGAAGATGAGAAGAGAAACGCAGAAAGAGCAAAGTTGAAAGACTGAAGAATTAGATGAGAGAAAAACGATGTAGGAAACGAATAGAAGACAACAATGAAGAAAGATGGAACGGCAAGCTGAGAGCTGGAGGAATGAAGATCGTAGAGATGGATAAAGGGGGAACGTTGGGGGATAAGGAGAAGCGAGTGGAAGCTGGCTGTCTCGATGATGATGATGATTATGACGTGGAGAAGAGCGAGAGGGAGTGCCTGGGATGGATGATGGGGTTGAGGATGAGGATGGCGGGGGTAGGGAGAAGAAGATATGAAGAAGAAAGGAAGAGGTGAGGTTGAGGATGAATGTTTATATAACTTAAGAGAGGATGGATGGTGGTTAAGGGGGAAGAGAAAGGGGGGAAAGTGCACTTTAGACCGACATCAACAACACTTAAGTAAACAACGCCACCTAGGCAGGGCAGTCACTTCACAAGAACAACACAAACAGTACCTATTCATAGGGCCTTGTTGGCTCATTTGACCAGTTGTGATGGCACCACAACCCTGTTGCTGTGAGATTGAAGACAGCGAAAGAGATCAGCTGACATGTTTGTAGGTATGTAAATGTACCTGAGAGTCATGCAACAGAGAAGGGGAAGGCCAACACTGAATTTTGCACGGCAAGTACAGGGGTAACCTGCTTAGGATACCTCAGTAGCCCTTCCGTATTGATATTGTTACTGTAGCATCAGCTGTTTGTTTATTTTCAGAAAACATGCTGACACTGTATACACAGAGACTGTGAGAAGGAACATCTCTGGCTTTGTATGAGGGCAAAAAGGAATTCCTTCGTCAAAAGTTGAATATTCTGAAAAAGAGAGAGGGCGACTCGGTCAATTCTCCATCAATGGAAAGAAGACCTCATAAATCATGCAAGAAGGCCCCCCATTGAGATGCAAGATGCCTGCCACGGGAGATCTGGGAAGCATGATAAAAAGTCAAGAGAGAGAGAATGCTGACGGTGTCATTTAGCCCATCTAAGAAACGGCACCCATATAGCTGCAATATGCCAAACTACATGGTGTTATTATATCTGAATACAAAGACACTCGGTCTTCAAGGCAAATAGCTCTCAACAACATCTGGCCTAACCATACCATCGGTGACGGATGCACAAAACATGAGACCAGACAGGACCAGGGTATATCATAACGAAAGAAAAGCAACTGCAGCGGGAAGGACCACCGAGCTATACCAGTATCCCATAGAAATAGAACAACATGGCGAACAATAGTTCCCTGGGAGGGTCTGGTCCAGGGAGATCTTTCAGATGTGCCATGTTACTCTTCTTGGACACCAGGCGCTTCTAGCCCACAGAAGAAAGGAAATATGAAGAACTGAAGAGCATCCCACCCACTCACACACCCCCGTCGGGCTAAACAACCATCATTACCTACACCCATTCCATTCTTCACCCTTTCATCAAACCTTCAAGAGTCCCCTATATTAAAAAAACAGCCATGGAGCGGAATTCAGCGGGAAATACTTCAGTACCCCAATACCCGGGGCGCCCAGCGAAGCGGAACCCTTCACATCAACCGAAGGCAAAAAGACGACAGGCCAAGAGGCCACATAAACTACAACTGGAGACAACAAAACCTTACTATCCACTTCTACAGACACCCGCAATCGGATTAACTAGTTTGGACGACAAAATGAAATTATAATAGGTCGTGGGTAACCCGAGATTTGTGATACGGGTTCCTCAGACTGCATTTCCAGGGGGACGGAGCTACCCCGCGGAAAACTTGCCTTGATCATTCTCGACGACATTAACATTAATTATTAAAGACTGGCCGATTTGTTATGGATGAAAATGAGAGTTCAGCCCAAAGGTGCACAGATGGGTTTCTTGGCACTAACTTAGGTCATGTGATACTTTTTGTTTATGGTTCCACGGTTAGGTTGAATTCAATTGAGAACCTCAATATAACAATTCATTCCATTCATTCTAAGAACATTTCTACAGTGGTCGTTAGATATCTAATAAATGAACCAAGAACGAAAGGAAAGAAGCCAAGATGACGCCAAAAAAGATATCTCGCTATATTCATATATATGAACATATATGCGGACTAAAAACGCGGAAGAAAGACAGCTTAAAACGGACATTTAAAAGAGATAAGAGAGAGAGAGAGAGAGAGAGAGAGAGAGAGAGAATACAGAGACAGAGAGATAAACATAACAAAGAGAATGAGGGGCAAAAATCACAAGGGAAACCCGATGCAGTCTATATACCCCACTCTAAAATATATATCTCATCCATCCATGCCACATCATACTATACATCATCCATGGATACCAGAACAATAACCCAAAATAAAAACCCATCACAATCATATTCGCAATCACGACCAAACATCTTCCTGATATGACCCATTGTTCCGCATATGCTTAACCAACTCCTCGCCCTTCTCCGGCGCCAGCCCGCGCTGCTCCGCCATAATCTGCCCCAGCACCACATTCACCTCCCGCGCCATATTGGCCGCATCGCCACAGACGTAGAAGTTTCCCTTTTGCAACAGCAGCTCATTGACGAGCTCAGCGTGTTCGCGTAGCTTGTGTTGGACATAGACTTTTTGAGAGGTTTCGCGCGAGAAGGCGGTGATGATTTGCAGGCTTGAGCCGAGCTTTGAGGCGAAGGTCTGATATGAGGGAATTTAGTTGTGGTGATTGTTAGCAAGGATAGAGATATAGAGTATTATAAGGGTGAGAAGAGGAGGAAAAGATAGAAGATAGTGGGTGGGGGTGGGATAAGAGGTATGGAAGTTTAAGAGATCTAGAAAATAACAAAATACATACATCCCACTCATCTTTATACAGGAAATCCTCCTCCCGTCGTCGACATCCATAGAACAAAATCGTGGGCCCTACCTTATCCCCCCTCTCCGCCTGCGCCGCGCGCTCCTGTATAAACCCGCGGAACGGCGCAACACCCGTTCCCGGCCCGACCATAATGACCGGCTTGGCCGGGTCGGAGGGGAGTTTGAAGTTGGAATGCCGCACGTGGATTGGGACGTGGATGCCGTCGTACTTGTTTCTGGGCCCGTTGATGGCGTATGTCAATCCGTGCGGGTCCGGATTGGGGTCGCCGTGTTGTTTCTGCTTCAAGGCGAGCAGGTAGTTTGTTGTGACGCCCTTGAGGTTGTGGGTTGCGCCGGGGATGCGTAGGGATTCGACAATGGCGGTGATGCTGATTTTGTTCTTTTGGACGAGGGAGGAGGAGGAGATGGAGTAGTAGCGCGGTTGGATTTTTGGGATGCCTTCGATTAACAGGGAGAAGGGGACGGAGGTAAATGGGAGCGGCGTAACGGATTGTAGTGCCTGGGCGATGTTCATGTATTGGCTAGCGATCTTTTCTTGGAAGTAGTCC